GTGTGAGGTCTATCCCATCTCTAGATCCTATGATCTGCACAATGAAGGGGCCGGACTCGTTCTCAAAGCTCCTGTCAGTGATGACATTCTTTGGTTCTGTGACCGTCCATTCATTCATTCATTCACTCCTTCATGGTTCGGGTTAAAGGGGGCAGGAAGAGGAAAAGGAGAAGAGGGAAGCTGAGGCTCTTATAAATAAGACAAAGAATAGTGGTTGTCTGTGTATGAGTGGGCAGCCTGGCCAACTGCCTGGCTGAAGCCAGTTAGAGGAGCTGTGGTTTCAGACCCTGAGCTTGAGCCTTTCTAAAGGTGGGGTTACTGTGGGTCCTGGGATGGGAGCAGACAACCTGGAAAATGGGGAGGTTGGCAGGCCTTCAAGTCTGTCCCTCCCCATGTGTGTGCCCTCCCACCCAGGCAACCCCAATGTTGAAAACTTGCTCACATGTTGCCCATGCATGAACCCTAGTTTAGTTCTAGAGTTTATGTCCTATGTCAGCGTATCTGTGTTGATTATATGTCCTCAGAAGGCAGAGGTTCTGTCCATGTGCAAAACCCAGCATCGAGTCTTTTGCAATTAGGAACTTGGAATCATAGAGTCTCAGAACTTGAAGAGACCTTAGAACGTAGAATGTTGGAGCTGAGAGGGACCTTAGAACAAAAAATATTGGCCCAGACTCTTGGGATATCAGAGTTAGAAGGAATCTTGGAAATCATCTAATGCAATCTGATCATTAGACTGATGAGGAAACCAAAGCCTAGAGAGGTCATGACTTCTTCAAGATTACACAGAAAATGAGCAGGCCCTTTGGGACTCCTAGGCCAGAGCTCTGGTCTCCCGACTCTCTGTCCAGTGCTCTTTGGCTTTAAAAAGTCTGTTTACAGAGGTCACTGTTGTTGTAGGAAGGCTGAGGTGGACTGTGGATAAGGAGTGGAGGCTGGAGCAGAGGGATTTTACAGCAAAGAAGCATACTCATGGTTGCAGGGCAAGCTGGATCGGGTGGAAGAGGCCTGGGGATTCCATTGGTTCCACTTACCCTTTTAAGAGGCCCAATGGTCCAAAAAAGAACTGCAGAGCCCGCACAGTGTCTCTAGGCCTCTCATCACTAATGGAGAAAAGTCTTGCACCAATGCCAGAGAGCTCCCCCGAAAGTACACCTAGAAGAGGCAGAAAGAAGAGAAGCATTGCTATGAGGTGTGACATGTGGAGGAGGATTAGGAGTTTGGAGATCTGAGAGATCTCCAAATGGTTACTGTTACAACTCATTTGGGTGTGCATGGGTCAGGTCCCTTAACTTCTCTGAGAGTCAGTTTCCTGACTTGAAAAATAGGGCTAACCCCACAGGCTTACTATGAGGATTAAATTCCATTCAGTTCAATTTCTGAAGTACCTACTATGTGCATGTCACTTTTCTAGGCACTGGGGATAGAGGCAATAAAACAGTCCCAGCCTT